GGGTGTGTGGTGTGTGTGTGTGTGTGTGTGTGTGTGTGTGTGTAGGAGTGGTGAGAAGCTGGCCTGGCCCCAGCTGGGAGACAAGGCCCAGAGGTGTGTTCTGGGCTGTGGGTGGGGTGCAGGAGTGTGTAGGTGGGAGGGGCGGGGCGGCCCTTACCTCTTGGTGTTGCAGGCATCAGGGCAGGTTGGGCACTTCTCACACATCTCCCCAAAGGCTCCCGGCTCCGTGCACTGGCACTGCCCGCAGACGCAGCGCCCGCGGTTGCTGCAGATCTGGCCATCCTTGGCCTGGCACGTGCTGATATCTGTCGAGCAGTTACAGTTGTCCCCGATGTAACCTATGTGGCACTTGCATTCTCCACAGTGGCACTCCCCGTGGCCTGGAAGAACACACACAGAGGACACGTCAGGGTTGACCCCACTTCACACTTATAAGCATGTAACCAGGTACAAGGTATAACCAAGATACATATTCTGCCCTCTGAAGCTGTTCTGACAGGCAGAGGGGACTTCGTGCACATAGAGTGATAACAGTGGCGCTGACTCATCTGGCCTGGCTAAGCTTGGCGTGGTAGATCAAGCTGATCCAGAATTTGACCAAGTCACGTTACAGAACCAGAATCCAGAGGGCTCAGCTCCTACTCACACTAGTTGTTCTACAAGATGAAACAATGACTCCCAACCATGTCTGTGTCCTAACCCCCCGAACTTTGTGAACGTTCCCTTATATGGCAAAAGGAACTTGGCAGATGCAATCAAGGATTTTTTAAAAAGAAGGTTATCAGGGAGCTCTAGTGGCCTAGTGGCAAGAAGCTGCACTGCAATCCCAGAGGTATGTGGTTCGAATCCACCAGATGCTCTGCTGGAGAAGGAGGGGCAGTCTCCTCCTGTACCAGTCAGATCCAATTTGATAGTACATGCACAAAATAATAAAAGAAAAATTAAAAAAAGGAAGGTTATCCTTGATTATTCTGTTAGACCAAATGAAATGACAAGATACCTTGTAAGAGGGGGCAGAGGAGGATGTGATTCGAGGAGGAGGACATGATGGGCTGGGATGTGATGTAATGAACAAGCAAGATGCCACACTACTGACTTTGGAGATGGAAGACAGGGCCACAAGCCAAGGGGTGCTGCACTGACAGCTGGAAAGGAAGAAAAACGGACTTTCCAGAGAGCTTCCAGAAGGAACCAGCCTGACTGACAACACTGCAATAGCCTAGTGACACTGATTTTACGTGTCTGACTTCCAGAAGTGAAAGAAGAAAAATCTGTGTCACTCTGAGCCACTAAGTTTTTGAAATATAATTAGCCGGACAACACTGCAGACTATACCCCAAGTTTTTTACGGTTTTGATCATTTGTTACAACAACAATGGGAAATAAACACAGTTGTGTCCCCTCGGTGAGGGGTGAATTCTTGCTGTGTCCTTGGGACTCAGAGCCAATGATGACGATTTAGGAGCAGATGCTCATATAATGCTTATATGACAGCTGTGCTTGAAATGACTCTGACACATCGTGGTTCCACACTCGTCAGAATACAACTGCGGCCCATAAAATTTCCAGTGGCTGATTTTTCAGAAGTGGACTGTCATGCCTTTCTTTAAAGGCACCTCTAGGTGGACTCCAACCTCTAACCTTTCTAATAACTTCTGAGTACATTAACCATTTGCGATATCCAGGAAGACACACAGACACACACATAGGCATGTTTTGTGTATACATGTAAAACACTTAGAACTGATAGATATATCTATGCTAGACACTGTTCTATCAAGCAGTTCTCTGCTGATGTACTGTTCCAGTC